TGATGACAGTATCCTAGCTACATGTAGCTAACCAACTGACACAACATACACATATGCCACATGGAGATTTTGGCCTACTAAATTTTAACCATGCTGGAATCCCATCACATTTAACCCTAAGATGAATTAACCCATACATTACCAGTAGTAATTAGAAATGCTATACTATATATACATGCATGATCAATGCTAGGTAGAGACATACTGACCGACTCTGGAGGTGACATACTGAGAGATTACCTGTATAATCAGGAGGGTATGTTATACTAATTATATTGCAAGCATTTATTCATTTAATCTTATATACTCTGCTTTATGATATATTAATGGATCTTTATTCGTGTATTCAATAAACTATATAAATCAGACAAAAGTTATTGCTTCCAACTCCTATTATTATTGTATTCTCAATTATTTATGTATTTTAAATAGAGAAACTCTATACCGACTATACAATATTTTTGCTAAGATATCTGTATGGTTAGCCCTGCTAAATTCTAAGTTGTAAGACGTTATAGCAGTAAATTGGAGTACGAACAGTTACAGCAGACCAACCAGGAATCTCAGGTGCCGTAAGCTTTTGTTTATTTCTTTTTTAGATTATGATGTCATAATCAGATCACTTTTTTCCCTAGTCAGAAGCGTCTTGTCTTTAGTCGCAACCAGTGTTTGATATTATATAAACATCCGCGAGATCACTTTCTGCTAATTTCGCCTACGGCCATACCAGTCTGAAAGTGCCTGAACTCGTCAGATCTCAGAACTTATGCAGACTTGGGCTTGCTTAGTACTTGTATGGGAGACCAACTAGGAACCTCATGTGCTGTAAGCTTTTGTTTATTTCTTTTTTAGATTATGATGTCATAATCAGATCACTTTTTTCCCTAGTCAGAAGCGTCTTGTCTTTTGTCGCAACCAGTGTTTGATATTATACCAACATCAGCGAGATCACTTTCTGCTAATTTCGCCTACGGCCATACCAGTCTGAAAGTGCCTGATCGCGTCAGATCTCAGAAGTTATGCAGACTTGGGCCTGATTAGTACTTGTATGGGAGACCAACTAGGAACCTCAGCTGCCGTAAGCTTTTGTTTATTTCTTTTTTAGATTATGATGTCATAATCAGATCACTTTTTTCCCTAGTCAGAAGCGTCTTGTCTTTTGTCGCAACCAGTGTTTGATATTATACCAACATCAGCAAGATCACTTTCTGCTTCTTTTACCTATGGCCATACCAGTCTGAAAGTGCCTGATCTCATCAGATCTCAGAAGTCATGCAGACTTGGGCTTGATTAGTACTTGTATGGGAGACCAACTAGGAACCTCAGGTGCCGTAAGCTTTTGTTTATTTCTTTTTTAGATTATGATGTCATAATCAGATCACTTTTTTCCCTAGTCAGAAGCGTCTTGTCTTTTGTCGCAACCAGTGTTTGATATTATACCAACATCAGCGAGATCACTTTCTGCTAATTACGCCTACGGCCATACCAGTCTGAAAGTGCCTGATCTCGTCAGATCTCAGAAGTCATGCAGATTTGGGCCTGATAAGTACTTGTATGGCAGACCAACTAGGAACCTCAGGTGCCGTAAGCTTTTGTTTATTTATTTCTTAGATTATGATGTCATAATCAGATCACTGTTTTCCCTAGTCAGAAGCGTCTTGTCTTTTGTCGCAACCAGTGTTTGATATTATACCAACATCAGCGAGATCACTTTCGACTAATTTCGCCTATGGCCATACCAGTCTGAAAGTGCCTGATCTCGTCAGATCTCAGAAGTCGTGCAGACTTGGGCCTGCTTAGTATTTGAATGGGAGACCAGCTAGGAACCTCAGGTGCCGTAAGCTTTTGTTTATTTCTTTTTTAGATTATGATGTCATAATCAGATCACTTTTTCCCTAGTCAGAAGCGTCTTGTCTTTTGTCGCAACCAGTGTTTGATATTATACCAACATCAGCGAGATCACTTTTTGCTAATTTTGCCTACGGCCATACCAGTCTGAAAGTGCCTGATCTCGTCAGATCTCAGAAGTCATGCAGACTTGGGCCTGCTTAGTACTTGTATGGGAGACCAACTAGGAACCTCAGGTGCCGTAAGCTTTTGTTTATTTCTTTTTTAGATTATGATGTCATAATCAGATCACTTTTTCCCTAGTCAGAAGCGTCTTGTCTTTAGTCGCAACCAGTGTTTGATATTATATAAACATCCGCGAGATCACTTTCTGCTAATTTCGCCTACGGCCATACCAGTCTGAAAGTGCCTGAACTCGTCAGATCTCAGAACTTATGCAGACTTGGGCTTGCTTAGTACTTGTATGGGAGACCAACTAGGAACCTCAGGTGCTGTAAGCTTTTGTTTATTTCTTTTTTAGATTATGATGTCATAATCAGATCACTTTTTTCCCTAGTCAGAAGCGTCTTGTCTTTTGTCGCAACCAGTGTTTGATATTATACCAACATCAGCGAGATCACTTTCTGCTAATTTTGCCTATGTTCATACCAGTCTGAAAGTGCCTGATCTCGTCAGATCTCAGAAGTTATGCAGACTTGGGCCTGATTAGTACTTGTATGGGAGACCAACTAGGAACCTCAGGTGCCGTAAGCTTTTGTTTATTTCTTTTTTAGATTATGATGTCATAATTAGATCACTTTTTTCCCTAGTCAGAAGCATCTTGTCTTTTGTCGCAACCAGTGTTCGATATTATACCAACATCAGCGAGAACACTTTCAGCTAATTTCGTCTATGGCCATACCAGTCTGAAAGTGCCTGATCTCGTCAGATCTCAGAAGTCATGCAGACTTGGGCTTGCTTAGTACTTGTATTGGGGACCAACTAGGAACCTCAGGTTCCGTAAGCTTTTGTTTATTTCTTTTTTAGATTATGATGTCATAATCAGATCACTTTTTTCCCTAGTCAGAAGCGTCTTGTCTTTTGTCGCAACCAGTGTTTGATATTATACAAACATCAGCGAGATCACTTTCTACTAATTTTGCCTACGGCCATACCAGTCTGAAAGTGCCTGATCTCGTAAGATCTCAGAAGTCATGCAGACTTGGGCCTGTTTAGTACTTGTATGGGAGACCAACTAGGAACCTCAGGTGCCGTAAGCTTTTGTTTATTTCTTTTTTAGATTATGATGTCATAATCAGATCACTTTTTCCCTAGTCAGAAGCGTCTTGTCTTTTGTCGCAACCAGTGTTTGATATTATACCAACTTCAGCGAGATCACTTTCTGCTAATTTCGCCTACGGCAATACCAGTCTGAAAGTGCCAGATTTCAGAAGTCATGCAGACTTGGGCCTGCTTAGTACTTGTATGGGAGACCAACTAGGAACCTCAGGTGCTGTAAGCTTTTGTTTATTTATTTTTTAGATTATGATGTTATAATCAGATCACTTTTTTCCCTAGTCAGAAGTGTCTTGTCTTTTGTCGCAACCAGTGTTTGATATTATACAAACATCAGCGAGATCACTTTCTGCTAGTTTCGCCTACGGCCATACCAGTCTGAAAGTGCCTGATCTCGTCAGATCTCAGAAGTTATGCAGACTTGGGCCTGATTAGTACTTGTATGGGAGACCAACTAGGGACTTTAGGTGCTGTAAGCTTTTATTTATTTCTTTTTTAGATTATGATGTCATAATCAGAACACTTTTTTCCCTAGTCAGAAGCGTCTTGTCTTTTGTCGCAACCAGTGTTTGATATTATACCAACATCAGCGAGATCACTTTCTGCTAATTTTGCCTATGTTCATACCAGTCTGAAAGTGCCTGATCTCGTCAGATCTCAGAAGTTATGCAGAATTGGGCCTGATTAGTACTTGTATGGGAGACCAACTAGGAACCTCAGGTGCCGTAAGCTTTTGTTTATTTCTTTTTTAGATTATGATGTCATAATCAGATCACTTTTTCCCTAGTCAGAAGCGTCTTGTCTTTTTTTGCAACCAGTGTTTGATATTATACCAACATCAGCGATATCACTTTTTGCAAATATCGCTTACGGCCATACCAGTCTGAAAGTGCCTGATCTCGGCAGATCTCAGAAGTCATGCAGACTTGGGCCTGCTTAGTACTTGTATGGGAGACCAACTAGGAACCTCAGGTGCTGTAAGCTTTTGTTTATTTCTTTTTTAGATTATGATGTCATAATCAGATCACTTTTTTCCCTAGTCAGAAGCGTCTTGTCTTTTGTCGCAACCAGTGTTTGATATTATACCAACATCAGCGAGATCACTTTCTGCTAATTTCGCCTACGGCCATACCAGTCTGAAAGTGCATGATCTCGTCAGATCTCAGAAGTCATGCAGACTTGGGCCTGCTTAGTATTTGTATGGGAGACCAACTAGGAACCTCTGGTGCAGTAAGCTTTTGTTTATTTCTTTTTTAGATTATGATGTCATAATCAGATCACTTTTTTCCCTAGTCAGAAGCGTCTTGTCTTTTGTCGCAACCAGTGTTTGATATTATACCAACATCAGCGAGAACACTTTCTGCAAATTTCACCTACGGCCAAACCAGTCTGAAAGTGCCTGATCTCGTCAGATCTCAGAAGTCATGCAGACTTGGCCTTGCTTAGTACTTGTATGGGAGACCAACTAGGAACCTCAGGTGCCGTAAGCTGTTGTTTATTTCTTTTTTAGATTATGATGTCATAATCAGATCACTTTTTTCCCTAGTCAGAAGCGTCTTGTCTTTTGTCGCAACCAGTGTTTGATATTATACCAACATCAGCGAGATCACTTTCTGCTAATTTTGCCTATGGCCATACCAGTCTGAAAGTGCCTGATCTCGTCAGATCTCAGAAGTTATGCAGACTTGGGCCTGCTTAGTACTTGTATGGGAGACCAGCTAGGAACCTCAGGTGCCGTAAGCTTTTGTTTATTTCTTTTTTAGATTATGATGTCATAATCAGATCACTTTTTTCCCTAGTCAGAAGCGTCTTGTCTTTTGTCGCAACCAGTGTTTGATATTATACCAACATCAGCGAGATCACTTTCTGCTAATTTCGCCTACGGCCATACCAGTCTGAAAGTGCCTGATCTCGTCAGATCTCAGAAGTCATGCAGACTTGGGCCTGCTTAGTACTTGTATGGGAGACCAACTAGGAACCTCAGGTGCCAGTAAGCTTTTGTTTATTTCTTTTTTAGATTATGATGTCATAATCAGATCACTTTTTTCCCTAGTCAGAAGCGTCTTGTCTTTTGTCGCAACCAGTGTTTGATATTATACAAACATCAGCGAGATCACTTTCTACTAATTTTGCCTACGGCCATACCAGTCTGAAAGTGCCTGATCTCGTAAGATCTCAGAAGTCATGCAGACTTGGGCCTGTTTAGTACTTGTATGGGAGACCAACTAGGAACCTCAGGTGCCGTAAGCTTTTGTTTATTTCTTTTTTAGATTATGATGTCATAATCAGATCACTTTTTTCCCTAGTCAGAAGCGTCTTGTCTTTTGTCGCAACCAGTGTTTGATATTATACCAACTTCAGCGAGATCACTTTCTGCTAATTTCGCCTACGGCAATACCAGTCTGAAAGTGCCAGATTTCAGAAGTCATGCAGACTTGGGCCTGCTTAGTACTTGTATGGGAGACCAACTAGGAACCTCAGGTGCTGTAAGCTTTTGTTTATTTATTTTTTAGATTATGATGTTATAATCAGATCACTTTTTTCCCTAGTCAGAAGTGTCTTGTCTTTTGTCGCAACCAGTGTTTGATATTATACAAACATCAGCGAGATCACTTTCTGCTAGTTTCGCCTACGGCCATACCAGTCTGAAAGTGCCTGATCTCGTCAGATCTCAGAAGTTATGCAGACTTGGGCCTGATTAGTACTTGTATGGGAGACCAACTAGGGACTTTAGGTGCTGTAAGCTTTTGTTTATTTCTTTTTTAGATTATGATGTCATAATCAGAACACTTTTTTCCCTAGTCAGAAGCGTCTTGTCTTTTGTCGCAACCAGTGTTTGATATTATACAAACATCAGCGAGATCACTTTCTGCTAATTTCGCCTACGGCCATACCAGTCTGAAAGTGCCTGATCTCGTCAGATCTCAGAAGTCATGCAGACTTGGGCCTGCTTAGTACTTGTATGGGAGACCAACTAGGAACCTCAGGTGCCGTAAGCTTTTGTTTATTTATTTTTTAGATTATGATGTCATAATCAGATCACTTTTTCCCTAGTCAGAAGCGTCTTGTCTTTTGTCGCAACCAGTGTTTGATATTATACCAACATCAGCGATATCACTTTTTGCAAATTTCGCCTACGGTCATACCAGTCTGAAAGTGCCTGATCTCGTCAGATATCAGAAGTCATGCATACTTGGGCCCGCTTAGTACTTGTATGGGAGACCAACTAGGAACCTCAGGTGCGTAAGCTTTTGTTTATTTCTTTTTTAGATTATGATGTCATAATCAGATCACTTTTTTCCCTAGTCAGAAGTGTCTTGTCTTTTGTCGCAACCAGTGTTTGATATTATACCAACATCAGCGAGATCACTTTCTACTAATTTCGCTTATGGCCATACCAGTCTGAAAGTGCCTGATCTCGTCAGATCTCAGAAGTCATGCAGACTTGGGCCTGCTTAGTACTTGTATGGGAGACCAACTAGGAACCTCAGGTACCGTAAGCTTTTGTTTATTTCTTTTTTAGATTATGATGTCATAATCAGATCACTTTTTCCCTAGTCAGAAGCGTCTTGTCTTTTGTCGCAACCATTGTTTGATATTATACCAACATCAGCAAGATCACTTTCTGCTAATTTCACCTACGGCCATACCAGTCTGAAAGTGCCTGATCTCGTCAGATCTCAGAAATTATGCAGACTTGGGCTTGATTAGTACTTGTATGGGAGACCAACTAGGAATCTCAGGTGCCGTAAGCTGTTGTTTATTTCTTTTTTAGATTATGATGTCATAATCAGATCACTTTTTCCCTAGTCAGAAGCGTCTTGTCTTTTGTCGCAACCAGTGTTTGATATTATACCAACATCAGCGATATCACTTTTTGCTAATTTTTCCTATGGCCATACCAGTCTGTAAGTGCCTGATCTCGTCAGATCTCAGAAGTCGTGCAGACTTGGGCCTGCTTAGTACTTGTATGAGAGACCAACTAGGAACCTCAGGTGCGGTAAGCTTTTGTTTATTTCTTTTTTAGATTATGATGTCATAATCAGATCACTTTTTTCCCTAGTCAGAAGCGTCTTGTCCTTTGTCGCAACCAGTGTTTGATATTATACCAACATCAGCGAGATCACTTTCTGCTAATTTCGCCTACGGCCATACCAGTCTGAAAGTGTCTGATCTCGTCAGATCTCAGAAGTCGTGCAGACTTGGGCCTGCTTAGTACTTGTATGGGAGACCAACTAGGAACCTCAGGTGACGTAAGCTTTTGTTTATTTCTTTTTTAGATTATGATGTCATAATCAGATCACTTTTTCCCTAGTCAGAAGCGTCTTGTCTTTTGTCGCAACCAGTGTTTGATATTATACCAACTTCAGCGAGATCACTTTCTGCTAATTTCGCCTACGGCCATACCAGTCTGAAAGTGCCTGATCTCGTCAGATCTCAGAAGTTATGCAGACTTGGGCCTGATTAGTACTTGTATGGGAGACAAACTAGGGACCTCAGATGCTGTAAGCTTTTGTTTATTTCTTTTTTAGATTATGATGTCATAATCAGATCACTTTTTTCCCTAGTCAGAAGCGTCTTGTCTTTTGTCGCAACCAGTGTTTGATATTATACCAACATCAGCGAGATCACTTTCTACTAATTTCGCCTATGGCCATACCAGTCTGAAAGTGCCTGATCTCGTCAGATCTCAGATGTTGTGCAGACTTGGGCCTGTTTAGTACTTGTATGGGAGACCAGCTAGGAACCTCAGGTGCCGTAAGCTTTTGTTTATTTCTTTTTTAGATTATAATGTCATAATAAGATCACTTTTTTCCCTAGTCAGAAGCGTCTTGTCTTTTGTCGCAACCAGTGTTTGATATTATACCAACATCAGCGAGATCACTTTCTGCTAATTTCGCCTACGGCCATACCAGTCTGAAAGTGCCAGCTCTCAGAAGTCATGCAGACTTGGGCCTGCTTAGTACTTGTATGGGAGACCAACTAGGAACCTCAGGTGCCGTAAGCTTTTGTTTATTTATTTTTTAGATTATGATGTTATAATCAGATCACTTTTTTCCCTAGTCAGAAGTGTCTTGTCTTTTGTCGCAACCAGTGTTTGATATTATACAAACATCAGCGAGATCACTTTCTGCTAATTTCGCCTACGGCCATACCAGTCTGAAAGTGCCAGATCTCAGAAGTCATGCAGATTTGGGCTTGCTTAGTACTTGTATGGGAGACCAACTAGGAACCTCAGGTGCTGTAAGCTTTTGTTTATTTATTTTTTAGATTATGATGTTATAATCAGATCACTTTTTTCCCTAGTCAGAAGTGTCTTGTCTTTTGTCGCAACCAGTGTTTGATATTATACAAACATCAGCGAGATCACTTTCTGCTAATTTCGCCTACGGCCATACCAGTCTGAAAGTGCCTGATCTCGTCAGATATCAGAAGTTATGCAGACTTGGGCCTGATTAGTACTTGTATGGGAGACCAACTAGGGACCTCAGGTGCTGTAAGCTTTTGTTTATTTCTTTTTTAGATTATGATGTCATAATCAGAACACTTTTTTCCCTAGTCAGAAGCGTCTTGTCTTTTGTCGCAACCAGTGTTTGATATTATACCAACATCAGCGAGATCACTTTCTGCTAATTTCGCCTACTGCGATACTAGTCTGAAAGTGCATGATCTCGTCAGATCTCAGAAGTTATGCAGACTTGGGCTTGATTAGTACTTGTATGGGAGACCAACTAGGAACCTCAGGTGCCGTAAGCTTTT